CTTCTTAGGGTTTCACTCTGAGGGATGGTGGCTGAGAAGTCCAGCCACACATTCCCTTTATAGCCCTCCAAAGGAAATTAGGGTTTTAGATCTGGATAAGTTACGCCGGGCGTAACCGTGGGTACGCCCTGCGTCCTGAGGGTAAACGCATCCAAAATGAGGCGCGCGAGTACGCGCAGCGTACACCTTGTACGCCCAGCGTACTCGCCTACCATGAAAACCCTAAATTAACAACTTAACCAAGATGCAAGGCCAAAAGAAGAATACTTGGATTTCGGGATGTTATATATATATATATATATATATATATATATATATATATATATATATATATATATATATATATATATATATATATATCCTTGCAGTGAAATCGTTGTGAAAAAATTGATGTTTGTGTATTTCTATAAATGGATGTGATTCTTAGTTATGTTATTTATGAAAGTGTCAAATTTCTCTAAGGAAAGATTCTCATCGCCCAAGTTTCAGTTGGACAGAAGCTTGGAATCATACAACTTGTATTGTGTGATGTATGGAAATCTTGGTACTTAAGTAATTAAGACTAATTCCTTGATCACACAAGTATGTGAGTCAAGTGAAGGACTAAAGGACTAGAACACAATGTTGTGCACTAGTCAAATCCGCCACAAATAACAATAGGACTATTCGTCATAATTTACTAAAGGTCTAGTAAATGTGGTTATACTTACAAGATTAAGTGTAATTCTAAATCATTGAAAAGTTTCAATGAATGGCAGAACGAATAAGTAGAATCAATGAAGGTAGAAAGATAAAAAGTTTCTCCAATCTAAGAAGAAGGGAGAGTACTTTTGTATCGTGTTTTATGATCATCTTGATGATTAAGAACCATATTACAGTTCATCCTCTAAGGATACCTTAGTGCACTGGTTTGGCTAAGAAGAGGAATGGAGAATTGTTGAAATGGTTAAGTCAATAAGAAGTATCGTACTTCGTTCCAAAATCAAGTCTTAGAGTAATATTCCAAGATTGTGACTTGAGTAAAATAGTCTTAAGTAGGAATGTTCTTACACTTGCACATTTTGGTAAGTTGTGATGTCTTAAATAAGATAAAGACCAACTAGTACCAAATTACGCGTAATTTTGTCTTGATATAGACACACACTAACTCTTGGATATTTGTTTTTGTCAAGAAATGTTTCTTGATAAGAGAATCTAATATGTCAAGAGATCAGTGGGAGTCTAAAGATCTTGAAAAGTTTCAAGAACAAATCAAGAAGTAAACCTATTAAACACTAGCACACGACTTGAGGATTGTAATCTATCGTGCTGACAAATTTTATTTCTATGCCAATCCAGTTGAGTGATTATGCATATGAGTTCTACGAGTTCTCAATTGACTGCATAAGGCAAACACCTTGTTCAATGAAAATTATATTGACTGGCATAGATGAGCGGCTAAATAACTTGGAAGCAATGGTGGGACCCTTAATGGCCAGAAATTAAGAATGAACAAGTTCTGTCCATAAGAGTTTGAATTTGTCACGAACATTATCTTATGATTATGGTTATGAAAATTCACATGGATAGGAACACATGCACCATAAAATCTAAGTGTTATAAGGTTTCTTTCCTTCATAAAAATGATTGTGAGGAAACGCTTTCACTAAGAGAGATTTTAAGGAGATAGCAATTATGTAAATTGCATTCTCAAATTCGATTATGATTACGTCATCCCTCTTCATAGTTCAAATTGTGAGATTTAGCAATTAGTCTGAACATTTGGGACTTAGTAATATAAGTTCTGAATTAGTTTAGACACACATGTGAGCTGTCTAAGGAAAGGTGTGTGAGTTTAAGAAGCTTAGATAAAGGCTTACCGAAGCACATCGTATTGGAAATATGAACTTTGGAAGTCAATAAGTATTGTCTTTTAGAAGTCCAATTGTTTTCTGAATACGTGTCAAAGCTAGTGAGAGCATAAATGTTATGTTGGGATAAATATAATCATCATGTTAGTGGGAGCATGATTAGTATTCTAAGTATTGCAAGTTGACAATATTAATTATAGAAAAGCAAAAGTTTCACTTTGCAAAGTTGCAGGGGTTGAAAAGTTGTTTTTGCTATAACTAAGGGAGAGAATGTTATACTTCATTTTCAATCAAAAAGCTTAGATCGAGAAATTTTAATTAAATTTAGTCAAGCATATATTTATTATTTGAATTCTCAAAGTTTGATTATGATTACAGCATCCCTCTTCATAGTTCGGATTTTGAGAACACGACAAATAAAAATAGTATGGCAATATTATAGCAAGAAGCTGGTAAAGCATCACATTTTTCATTATGAATCGTATCTCACATGTTTCGGCTATAGGATCGATAGCATATGCTGTAATATTCGACCGTTCTAAAATTTTCCAAATGCATAGCGAATTTAGAGGGAAAAAGGGAATAGAACCGGATTTGACTAAAATAATTAAACAATTGTCAATAACAATCTAAGGTTCGCCAAAGATTGGTCGCTTGTGTACAGTTAGAAGTATACTAATTGATGGACCATATTGACTTTATTATGAGTAGATAAGACTCTATTTAGAATGAGTTGTCATATGACAAATATGGAAATGTTTCCATATTAGGAGTTGGATATCAATAATCAATGTCTAGATTAGAAACTTCTATGCAAGAAGGATGTTCAAAGGAATGTATTTTGAATGTGAAAGGAATGTACTTTGAATGTGAAACTTCATGACTATGGAATTGTCTTGTAACAATCTCCAATAGAGCACTTTGTAATTTCATTGGCAAAGTCTTGGTGACTTTGGCGCTATGATATTACGAAAGGACCGTTGCATAAAATGTTAGAATCTAACATATTCTATAAGTGGCAAGAATTTGGTATTCTCACACTTGTGATAAGGATTGAGAATTGTGAAATGTGGGTGATTGAAAATGTTATTCAATTATACTATTTCACAAAGTAAGGACCATAGGTAAACATAGTATGCATGCTAACAACATTGGACAATTGTTGTTATAATTCAAGTAAGAAGTTGATTACCCGAAACAACAAATAATGAGTAATCAATATGGTGATTAAATAAAATGTATTTACTCAAAAGTTTGGGGTCATATACAATTAGTATTATTCTTGTGTTTCACTTTGCATGTTTTGACTTCCCGAATAATAAGATTATTCAAACCCTCCACAGTCGTTCATTCTTTGGAAGTAGGAATGAAAGAAGACTGTCATGAATCTGATTGTAGATTGTCTAAAGTGTTTTAGACATAACAAAAGTTTCCTGAAGGGTTCATGAGTGTTGCTATAAGATTAGGGTATTGGATTAAACTCAAGCTCACTTGGATCGCTTCATGGATTTTATCACGAGTGAGTTGTATCTTGCGAGTCGGTTACACATTGATAATATGTAAACACACTAGTAACTTGGTGTTATAAAACGTATTGTTGTGTGTGATTCGGTGAGTGAGTACAAGCGAGCATTGAGTCGAAGTTTATCCGTTCTTTTTACCCAAAGTGGGATAAAAACGATATATGTGGGCCCTCGATGATTTAGTGATGACACCCTAAGCGCTTGGCCAAGCCGGGACTAATTTGATGTGTTCAATTGTAGTCTGTTGTCGGTTGTCATAAATCGAAAATCGGAAAACAACACGTGAACAGAGAGTATGATTAAAATCCATGTATCAGTTCATACGATATCGAGAATGGAGGAATATATGATTCCTTATCTAAACGACAGGTTGCTAATAAGATCAGAGTTCGATAGCGTTTTTGAGAGCTATGATTGCTAATCGGATTGTACTTACATTATAGTTACTAGACTTATCCAAGTGGGTGACTGTTTGATTAGTGTCTAAGCCCATAACTATATTTGGTAAGTACTTGACCCGGTTGTGCATGGTCCTTTTGGATTGCCTTCACCAAAGCAACTTGATAGGATGATTTATGGAGAAAGAGGATTAATTATGATTTATTAATATATTATATGAATAATATATTAAAGGAGAAATCATATTGTTTAATTAATATTAATCAAGAATTAATTAAAAATTAGTTTTTGTGAAACTCACCGAGTCATGTCTAACTTAATTTAGAACATTAGTTATTATTAGTATCAATGTTGTAAAACTTACCGAGTTGGCCGATTACTCGGCTGAGTACTCCCTACTCATCCCCTTACCGAGGTTAGTTACAGAATTCGAGTACTCTCCGATCGGCCCCTTACTGAAACGAACAATATTGTAAAACTCAGCAAACTCAATGATTACTATGTATAATATACTTTATGATTTATTATTTAACACACACACACACACACATATATATATATATATATATATATATATATATATATATATATATATATATATATATATTAAATTTTCAATATTTATTCACGAAGTGAGACCATTGTAATTTTCAAGTTTTGTATATTCACATATATCTAATTTTGTTATGTTATATATTTCAATTAATTTATGATTTTAACTTATGATTTTGACATATATAATTTCTCTAAAAATATTTCTCTATAAATTACCGAATCCGAGTACTTCCCAAATACTCCTAAGCACTCTCGAATACTTGTTATGCAGTAGTCGGCCAGTCCGCCGAACAAGTACGAATAGCGAGTTCTCCAACCATGATTAGTAGTACTCTAAAATATTTTTTAACATATAAAATTTTTCTGGCACCTTTATGGGCACCGTGCTCCCACATATACAAAGCGAAATATGAAACTTACCTCTTACCGGCTCACCAAGTCGCATTTTCCAAATTACCTTATTTAACAAAAAAAAAAAAAAAAAAAGACTTCGGTGGTCCATAATGCATAGAAATAAGTGTACGCACCATTTAAGACCAAAAGCAAATTAAATTGGGTTTTAATGAAAATGAAAATTTGAAACTCTTTTTTTAAAAAGACAGACAATTATATCATTAGGAAGAAATAGACAGTTTTTAAGTAAAAAAAGAAACAAAATTACACTTAAAACTTCCAATTATATTCTCCAATAGGCTCACAATTCACAACACCAATCCCATCATCGTAGAGGTGATCCTTTCCTCTTCCTTGAGATAGTGTTTTCACCTCCATCCCATTACATCTCACACAAACAAACAACTTTTCTATCAATCTAATAGAACGAATCATTACATTAATTCTACCATACCAAAAAATACCTAAAACTTGGTCATTCATCATCACTAATTCGACACTTGATTCCATAGGTTATCAGTAGATAATAACCACACAATCAATAAAACATACTCAACCAATTATAATATGTGCAAAGAGAGTAGAGTTAAAACCTGACACTTTTTCATCAAATTTGCAACTTTCATCTACCGATTGCCAAATCATTTTTTCATTCAACATTTACCCACCAATAAGATCTGATTTACAACTATGCTTTAAACTTCTGTACACTACCAAAGTCCAAAACACTGCAAAACCTGTGTATGATAATTGATTGATTACCTACCTGCAGTCAGCTCTCAGTTTCAACCTTAGGCATGATCTTTTTCCTATTCACCCTTGAAGCAATCCTCCTTCTTTCCTGAATCTCTCGAACATATTCAGCCACAACAACATGTAATTTTGGAGCAATATTCGTTGTAGAAGTAATGTCAAGCCCTGCCTTCCTCAAGGCACGAATAACATGTTCTTGAGCAAGCTGGAAGTGACCACTGCATAGAGAAGGCACCATTGAGCGTAGTGCAGGCTTCCCACATATCCCATTTGCATCTTGTCCGCTAAAATACAAAGAAATTGGTAACGAAATTAGAATTAAGAACACTAATTCCTCAATCTACTCAAACTCCATAAGATTGAAGCCTGATGGGCATTGAAAAAGAGAAGGAAACGTACCTTTTAGAGACATACTCGCAAGGTTTGTAGAGTTGTTGCTTCGGGTCTGATAGAATATGGAGACGACAAAATTTGGTCAAAATCATGGCCTTCAGAGTACATCCACTGGAAGTACAGATGAAGCCATTGCTTTTGCCGTCTCCATCGCCGGATTCGACAATTCCGTCGTCAATTGCGTCTTTGAGTTCCTCCTCTTTGACATTATCTTTGTCGTCTTGATTAGGCTCCTCTTGGAACGGATTCCTACCGAATTTCCACACGTATTCCCTGTGCTTAACTCTAAGTTCCTCCATAAGTCCCCAATATTGGTCACGGTAACATTTCGTCAGTTGCTTCAGGTGGTGCGATCGTCGTCGCAGAATTTGTTGACGAGATAGATAAGTAGAACACGCGAGGTATTCGTCCTCCGGAGCAGATTTCAGGGAGGCGTCGGATGTGCTAGGGTTTTTGTGGTTGTGTGTGGATGTAGGATCCATTGTAGAGTGATAAGATGTCCACACGAGAGTGTGGCGATTTTTATCGGCCTCAATAGTAGCCGGCGGTGGTTTAACGCCTTAGTAGAGCCGGCGGCGGCGTTGTTAGGGTTTTGGTGGCGGTGTATACATGGAAGCCATGGTAGAGAAAGCTGCCCGCAAGAGAATGAGGTGATGATTACAAAATAGTCTCTCAAGTAATAGCTATGTTTAAATTCTAGTCCTCGATCTTTATAATTTACAGTTCGACTCCTTACTCTTTAGACATTCCCTATCCAAAATCCAATTTTAGTTTTATAGAAGAAACTAAAGAAATGGTCTGTGTCCAAAAGTTGCATACTTCCAAAAAAAATTAACCTTATGTTCCTTGGACATGGGTGTTATTACGGTTGTGGTCCCAATAGTTTTACTTTGTTATAAATTTGACCTAAATTGACTATTGCGCCATTAAGTAATTTGTTTTTTTTATCTTATTAAATAATATACAAATGGACGTATGTATGAGCATTTGGACCAGGGAACCGGCCATAACAGGTACCAAAACTGGAACCGGTACCAAAACCGAAACCGGATAGAACCGATCGGACCGGGACCAAGAAGGTATTCTTGTGGATTTTTGGAACCGGTAGAACCGGCAAAAACCGAAACCGTAACCGAAATATTTCTCAAAATATGTTGTTATCTCTCGAGGACCGGTTCCAACATTGAAGACCTGACAAGAACTGGTAGGAACCGAAACCGGTAGAGCTGGCGGTCCAGTTTGGTTCCTATTTTCCACCAAGTTCGGTTCTCGGGTCGGTTCTGATGCTCATCCCTAAATGGACGCATACATCCTTCTTCTTTCTCTCTCTCCCTCTCTCTCTTTCTCTCTCTCTCTCTCTCTCTCTATATATATATATATATATATATATATATATATATATATATATATATATATATATATATTCATCTCTCCCCCCCCCCCCTTCACTTTGTCTGGCCTTATCTTCGATGAAGTATTATTATTTCAACTCTCATTGTCTCATTGGTAAATCTCATCATCAATATTCAAAATAGTGAACGATTGCTTTGAAGTTTATACTTATGATGCCTTTTCTCCTCGACATTTTTCGCAGTAACGTGGTCATCATTATCATGGAATATTTTAGCAAGCATGTTATATCAAAATAAGGACAAAGGTGGTAGTTTTCTAACATATTTTTCCCTTCATATTTACGTTTCCTTTGCATATTTTATTCCTATCATTCCTTATTTTGCTCTATGTCGTCGGTCACTTGAGTTCTCGAAACTTTTCATCAAAAAAATTGATGCCAAGTTTGTCTTCTTTTCTCGTCCCAACAATAATGCATATGAACTGGAAAATGAAAGTGGTATTCGTCCCTCTCTCTTCTCAAGTTCTCTCTTACATCATCATAGGCAACATACATGGGTAAAGTTATGCATGAAACTCATCATTCAATGCAACCTTTATTGGAAATCTAAGTGAGGGTTACAATTCTAGAAAGGTAACGTGTATAAGTTCTTTTCGGGTCACAAATTTCCCACAATAAAACTTGTCTCTTTATGTTTCCTTAGTCATAGTTTTCCTTTTTTTTCTCTTTCTTTTACCACTAGAAAATGGAAAATGGTTGGGATATAACCCTACATCCATGAAACTCAACATGAAACATAGAGGCCTTACATGTCTCTATTTCTCTTTACTTCCATTTTTCAACCAACAATGCCTCTTGTTGCCACCAACGAGGATTCCCGGGACACACAAGCAACAACATCAAGAACATGCATCGAGGTACGTGATATCATGATGTTGTCGTCGTCGAATCTGTTGTTTCCTCCCCGATTGACATTTGTTGTTATTCTCTCGACATGAAATTAGAGACGTAAGTGAATAATGTAGATTCACGACTTTGATTTAGGAGAAAAAGTTATTATGAACTGAATAATGTTAGAGATGTGGGAGAGAGTATCGGGTGGGGGTTAGGATGGGATGTCTATTTTAGTTGTTCTTGATTACAAATTACTTAAAGAAAAGGAAAGGAAAAAAGAAATCAACAGTGTATACTAGTCATTTCACATGAACTAGGGACCATCTTCGCAAGAAAGTACAAATATATGGCCTTATTGTTAAAAATAAAAGTTGGACTATAGATGTTTTACAACATGATGAATGTCTGAAGTATATGTTTTACAATTTAATATTTATCTTTACTTAATCAATGCTTAAATTGGTATATACCGGGAGTAAGTGTTTTACAAGAAGAATGGATTTTGAGACTTTTCAAGTTAATGAAATAAAGTTATATAGTATTATGCCTATTTTCATTTTCTATTATGGACTAATATGTTATCATTTTAGAATAATTGGGGCTTAATTGTAATTTACCCGACTAATTTGGGAGTAACCTATGTAAGATTTAACCTTAAGGTTTAATTACTCTTAAAATATAGTTTATGTTCAAAATGTGAAAAAAGGAAATAAGTTTTTGGGTTAAGCTCTCTCAAAAAAAAATTATTAGCCACTATAATGGGTTTGAGAAGAAAATGAGAGAACAACGTGGTGCCTTATAAAAATCAACCAATCAATCTAAATAAATTTATATCCAATGTGTTTAAACTTAAATTAATGGTGCTTATAAACTTAAGGTATCATTTTGATCAATTATTTTAGCGTTTATGGTGTCGATAATTCATTAATGGTGAAAATCATGAAATTAAGAATTGGGTGAGGTTTTAATGGATTAAATGATGAGATTTAATTGTTACAATAATGTTTTTGACATCTATGTTTTGATTTTAATCAAAACAAATAAAATCAAACAATTTCATAGGTGGGTTCTATTGTTAAAAGTGAGTTTTTCTTATGGAAAACCTTGACTTTTTTTGTTTTTTTTTGGGACATGGTGAAATCGTATGGTATGCATGGAGAGATCCCTAGACCATACATGATGCCCTTATATCTTAGGAAGACGATAATGCATGGTACCAACTTGTCATGAGTCTTTCACGCTTTTACAACCTTGAATACGAGTGTATACTTGTGTTTACTGACCTATATAGTTTGCATTATTCAAAGGGAACACTAAAACATTTGGTACAGTTTTCTTCAGAGACTTCCCATCCCATACGATGAGATGTATGATCTTGATAGAAAATTTCCCATCCTGTATAATTTTCAGATAGAAAGTATGAATGTGAAGTATGTATATATGGTCTTGCTCGATATTTTTCGATCCATATGGCCTATGGTATGGCTATACCATATGGTACCAAGATCTTACCAACTTTAAGATGTAAAGACTTTATCCTCATTTTCACTTATGGTATGTATAAACTTAGGACAGTCCTCACGAGGCTTTTAATGTATTAAATTGCCAATCTTGCTTCTTAAAAGGGTTACTTGTGTATTATACTTATTTGATACTTCTAACAAATGAGTAGACCCTTTAAATGACAAAAGGATGATGGAAAGAAGAAACTAAGGTGAGTATATAGTATTTTGAGCACATATACGTATAAAATCTCTTATTTCCATTATGTGCTTTTGTTGATATATGTATTATGTGATGTTTGTTATTATATGTGTAATTTTCTATATTTATAAGAATTTAAAGTATGGTGATTTTTTTTAAAAGAGACATCTTTAAAAATGTTACTTTTGTAACATCTCAAAAGTTTAACTTTCAAGATGGTAGGATGTTAAGAATGATAACTAAAGCATACGAGATGTGTTAGAAAAGTCAAAGCCATTGATTGGAATGTAATAAAACGAGGATAATTTTGTGAGTGATGCTAAAATATTCTCAAAACATCAATTTAGAGTATAAACTATATTTTAATAAGTTACAGAATATATTTAGATGAAATTTATGTGTGTAAGTTCATGCTTATGCAAGAAATGGTAAATTTTATAAAGTACATTACAATTATGTTCAAAAGCACGACAAAATGGAGAAAGTACACAGATTAATGTTAAGTGTACTTATATGAAAAAATATTATAGTATTATGTTGAATCATGATACCTTATATACTAGGGTGATAATGGTATAACAAAATATGAATGAAAGAAAGGATTGGATGAGTTCCATTGTATAATATTATTGGGTTTGGAAATATGACAAAAGTATATTCACTAGCGTATTGGTTATTTTCATGCCTTGTATATTAGAAAAGATGTATGTTTATGCATGTTGTCTCTCTCTCTCTCTCACACACACACATATATATATATATATATATATATATATATATATATATATATATATATATATATATATATATATATATATATATATATCAACGATGAGTTAGTATATGTCTTAGATTGAACCTGTGGCCTCCTTGTTAGAAACACCTTGTTAGACATCATGTTAGCTAAGTAGGCTAACCCCAACTTGTTATATATATATATATATATATATATATATATATATATATATATATATATATATATATATATATATATATATATATATATATATATATAAGCTTAGGTTCTTCTATTCAAAGTAATTATTGTGTTATTGTATGCATAAATGTGGGGTAGTCAAATTTACTTATTTTAAGAAAATGATTAATATATATTATTGAATTAAATATAATTGAAAAATATCATCGTAATTAATTACAAGGGTAATTTAGTCAATTAATATAGATTTAATAAAGTAAAATTGCATTTTTTTAAGGGATCATAAATTCTATTAATTTTAAAAATCCGATTTTACGAATTATAATTCTTTTAATTCGGACATTCTGATAAAATATAGTTACAAGTATATTCAAAAATAAAAATATTTTTGAACCACAAATAAAAAAATATTCTTGAATCTATTTCTTGATCATGACTTTAAAACTTATTGTAGAATAACAAATTCTTGAACAATCAATTGAAGAATGACAACAAAAAATATATTATTTATTATAGAATACGAGTAATAATTGTTAAGAATCACATTTATTGTTAAAAAATAAAACTAAAAAAACTTTCAAAACGACAAAGAAAACATCAAAATCTAACAACGACACTAATACATTTTAAAAGAATAATGTTGCTTAGAATTACTTTCAATTTTGTGGTCCGTTCTTCAAGCATCAACTTTTGTGATTCCAACAGAATTCAAACTCATGATTCCATTCCAACAGAATTAGAATTTGTGATTCCATTCCAATAGAATTGATGGGCTATATGACTTAAGTTAGTTGTTCGACTTGGTCCACATCATATATTTAGGAGATTATCGACATGAAAGCTCCATG